ATATTCTGGCCTTTACTGCAGAATTAAACTAAACTAAAAATGTATTATATATTGAAAAAGATGTTTAAAAAAGAGACGAATGACTTTTAGACATGAGTCCCATTTCTCTATCAAATACAAGTCAGCGTTTTTAATGATTGATAGCTTTAACACTAAATTTTAGATTTTTAATACAAAAAGCGACTGAATTTTACACAGTCTATAGGTTTTTGTTAAAAATAGAAAAAGCAATAAAAATATTTCAACAACAAAAACTCTATATTTACAGCAAAAATCTTCTATTATTTAATATTCGTTCAATTCATTGATAGATTGGGATATATTTGGGATATATTTGGGATATATTTGGGATATATTTCATTTGGAATTTCATTTATATATAAATTCTCTGATTTTAAAATTAGTTTATTTGTGTAAATTACTGTTAGTAAGATTTAAATAGCCTTCAATACTATTTACACTGTATTTCATTTTCCTTGAGGCAAATACTGCAAATACTACTAAATACTAATTTCATTAGACTCGGAGTAAGTGTGTGGGTGAATTACTCGCTAATATTAAATTATAACTTTGCTTTAAAATCTTATTTAAGAATAGATCTTATATTGGAAATTGATTGCAATTTTTAGTTAATACTTAAGATGTGATAAAATTGTAAAATGTAGACAAACCTGATGATGGAGTTTGTCGCTTGAATTTCTGAAATTCTGTGGACTCCTTGTCGGTGCCGATCGTGTAGTTATGAGTGGAGTCCTCATAGAATTTGGCTTTTCTTCTCAATAGTCTGACTGTCAGTACATATGAGGACAACATAACAACCATTGGACAGAAGAAGGCACTCAATGAACCTAAAGGTGCACACAATCGCAGCAATTGTTAAGTAATTGTAAAATCGATTATTCATTAGTGTTTGGATTATTGTATAAAATAAAAGAAACGCTTTATTTGATTAATTAAATGCTGAGTTTAAGTCTAAACGAATGCAACTAAATTACGCTAAAAGAGAAATATTAGCCAATTATTGGACCCAATGTTTGTGCAAATTAAGCACTTTTTCAATAATACTGACCTAATATCTGAAAAGGACGACTAGATATGGCACAGACTAGTGGTTCCGGTTGTATATTACTTCTATCAAAGACAGCTGTAATAAACATTCAAATATATTATAATTATAATTAACATTAAAATAACATTATAATTAGGAAATTAAGACAAATATTTCTACTAATATTAAAAGGATTCATAAGAATTTTTTATTTCTTAGACAGTATAGTAAATTAATATTTATAATACCAGTATGTAATTCATATAATAAGAATATATTGCATTCTTTTCGATGATAAATTCATTAGTGAATGTCATTTAATTTGGAGTAAATTCTGTTGTAAACCAGAATAATATTAATACTTAAAATGACATTTGAGTTTTAGCTAAAGATCTTTGAACTGATGGTTGAATTGAAATATTACAAAGATTTGTAGATTTAGTGAAAAGAAAAACATTACTATGAATATGGTACTTTCATTCTTTGAATTATTCTTAAAATATTTTTCAACAAAAGCAAAATTATGTTCAAATGTTGAGTTTTCTCAATAATGAATACATTAATCAATCAAACGGCCAATATTTATAAATAATATTCTTTAGGAATGCAAACCTTAATGTTCTTAACGTCTATTTTAAAGCTTATTTATTTAAACACTACTCAAATTAGAAATCGATTTTTCCATCTATTATTTGCTATCGATTTTTACTCAAGAATTCAATTTTAACTTTCAATTAAATATTGAATTCAAACATTGTTTTCACATTTAATTTGACTCTTATTTCTATTGTAACCGTATAATATATTGTGTAATAAAACGTGGACTTTTCTATTTATACAATACTTGAATATAATTTTTACAAAAAAGATTTTTCTTATACAGTATGATAATTCAAGTCAACACAAAGTGTATCATTTGTTATTTTTATCAATTTTTAATCCTTATTTGTTTGTTTTTAAAAAGAGTCTCAATATTCGTAATAATAAACTACAGAATATTCTTATATTGAATATAAAATAGGATTAAAGCGAGATATTTTTATAAGTAAGCTAATTAAAACAAATTTTCTTACAAGTTAGATATTGCTATAATGTAAATATTTGTTTAAATCATCAAATTGATAGGAAATTATTTTATGAAATTAATGAATTGCGAAACGGCCACTATTTAAACTAGATATAGTAAATGGATATTAAATAACGAAAATGTAAATGAAGTTTATTTGTTTGGGCGATATATGAGGTCATAAGTGGTGAAAGTGTTTCATAGCAGTGACCAATCGATTGAAACTCAAAGTCTTTGGTTTGCATGACTTGAATCAAACAAAACTAAATCTATTAAATTATTTGACAAAATTAGGAGTAAAAACAGATGTTTTGTGCAAATGTCGTGAGTCTTGAGCTATAATCACAAAACTGAGTGAATCTTTGATGAAAACAAACGACACGACAAACAGTATAAATTGTATAAATAATGTGAGGTTTGGGTGAAAATGATCACTGATTTGCTTCGTAAGCACTAAAATCATCAAAATTTTCGCAAACATTGGTCTTGGTCAATATTTGCCGCGGAGTTTGTGAAATCACTTTTTTATTTCTTTAATAAATACAACGTGTATCTCATATTTCATCAAAATATTTAATTTCATGGTAATTTCAATGTCACTGAAATTACTTTTTACAATTAATTATCGATTTAATGATTTGTAATAAGATTACTCAAAATACCGTTTTCCCAATGAAATTATATATTTTAAACACTGTTTATAAGAAATGATAAATTGTCACAATTTAAGACATAGTTTTCAAAAAATATATAATTAAAATATTTTATAGCTTATATAAAAGTTAGAAAGTATGTTTAATAATATTAAATGCTTATAAAAGCTTTCGCACTTATTTCCCTACAAATTAAGTTATAAAAGTTATAACTTCAACAACTGTATAAATCTCAAGACACAGTATGCTAGCTTTATAGCAACATAAGTTTTAAAATATGTTAAAATCATTACAGTAATTTTCAAGTAAAATATAGTAAAGTGTAGTAAACTAATGGAAATATTTTAACACATTGCCGACTGTATACAGAATTTGTATTTAATAGATAATTACTTATTTGTAATCAGTTTATTTGACACATGAATTGAAATATAGTTGTTATCAAATAATTATCAAATAAACTAAAAAACTCAATTTCCTATATTTGTTGAAACCATTAGTAGAAATCAAATAAACAATTTATTAACGAATACAAAATGTCAAGATACAGACACTATTATGTTAAATATTTTAATTAAACTTTTACTACGAATATCATTGAATAATAAATAAATAATAATAATAAATAATATTTCAAATAATTAAAAATAATAATTAATATAATAGTTATAACGGGTATATAAATGATTGAATGATTTTTAAATGAGTCAATTATTTTGCAAATAAATTATGATTTGCTATACAGTATAGCCTATACTTGTTCTCAATAGGAAAGTCATATTAATGATTGCAATTATTATAATTTATACCATAATTACTATCACATTGAATAATGGGTTCAATGTTTGACAGACTGTGTTTTGGTTAGAAAAAAGTGAATGAAAGGGAAGGGAAGGGAAGGGAAGGGATGGCATATCTGACCCATTATAGTGAGAGGCGATGTGATGACAGCAGACAAAAGCCAGGCCAACACGATCTTGAAGAGGACAGCCCTACGAGAGACCAGAAGCGGCGCTTGTCTGGCGTGCAATGGATTCTTGATTCCGATATAACTGAATAAGTGATAGGAATGCACGTGAATGGCGTTAATAAGGATGAATGGGTGAGCACTGGTATGTACATACCGTCCCACTGATATGAAACACATGTGGAGAATACTTGAGGAACAGCACAAGACATCGCACGTCACCCATAGGTTACAAATTGTGGGACCGAACGGCCAAATGCCTGCAAAATAAATGCATTTCCTTTGATTTGTGGTTTTGATTCCGGAGTGACTCCAGAAT